AGCCCTTGTGTAGCTTTGCATGAAATTCAAAACAAACAAACACATCTTTGTACTCTTCTCTACTTTTAGTCTCTCCTCTTTCTCTCCCTTTCTTCTTTTAGTCTTTCTCTTTCTTCCTCTCTTCTCTATTTTGTTGATGCTCTTCTCTCTCTCTAGGTCTTCTTGTTGTTGTTTAACAAATTCTTGTTGATCACCATCTAAGATAAACAAGTTGCTTGCCCATCTCTATCCACTTATCAAAGTCATTTGACATGATTATATAGTGTGGTTGTGACCTCTACAATATTTTCACTACCACTACAGCTGTGCATATATAAGCCTATTTCTACTGTCGTTCACATCTTCTTCTATCACCAGTTACCACCGTATAATCATTGCTGGCTCACCAGTGTCAGGTATTTATGTATGAGTGGGCTGGACTCTTTACAGTAGGTTCCCGTGACTTGTTGGTGATAAATTTCAACAATAAACAAACAACACATAGCCCACTTGTTTTAAAATAATATATATTAAAACAAGTCAAAAATATATACAAATGTTCGTCTCAATGTTCATTACCACAGTTGTATCCAGAGCTTTAAGTATTCATCTGTTTTCGTCCAAATCCACAAGTTGGTTCAGTTACTTTAGAACCCTATTAAGAAAGCGAATTATTCTTCTCTACTCTGTTATTAAAATACAGTGTGCGATAATTTCACTTTAAAATCACCACTATAACTCTTTATGGCTAAACTCATAATCAAGCAGTCAAGATCTAGCTATCTGTCTAACTAACTCGAATTACATATTGTACACATATTTATAGCCTGATTGAGGCCTAGAATGTTCTACATGATACAGAAATACTCAATCAAAACAAGGAAGAAACTTAGAAGGTTCTAGTAACATGATGCAGTAATACAATCACTAATTCACAGGCCCGGCATGGCCAGGTGGATAAGGCGCTCGACTCGCAATCTGAGGGTCGTGGGTTCGAATCCCCGTCCCACCAGACATGCTCGCCCTTTCAGCCATGAGGGCATTATAATGTGACGGTCAATCCCACTATTCGTTGGTAAAAGAGTAGCCCAAGAGTTGGCGGTGGGTGGTGATGACTAGCTGCTTTCCCTCTAGTTTTACACTGCTAAATTAGGGACGGCTAGCGCAGATAGCCCTCATGTAGCTTTGCGCGAAATGCAAAAACAAACAAACTAATTCACAACAGTCGAACTATGCAATGTATTATTTGTACACAGTTACATAAACAAAGCTGCAATAAACTATTACTTCTAAACATAAAATTTAATATTCACATCTAACTTAAATTGAAACAGTTGTGTATATCTAACATCTGGAAAGACTATTAAATTTCATTTTAGTGCTGTAAACTGGGGAAAATCTGGGATACACAAAAGTAACTTGTGATAGCTATGAACGAATAGACAAATGATAAGCAAATTTCAAATGTTTATTGGCATTTAACTTACCCTCATTTAATTTTTATTAGCTGCAGTTGAATTAGTGAGTAGTCACTAAGAAAATTGGTTTGGGGGAAAAAAAACTTTTTTTAATAGTTAAATTGAAACAAAAAATACATTTAGCTTGGTATAATTTCTCAAATTCTAATTAAATTCAACATTTTCATGATACCTCTGATTTGATTGAGTTAGTCAATGTGTTTTATTATCCATTTTATATTATTTTTTACTGCTAATAGTCAATACTTGTTTTAGTTTAATATTTGTTATTGTTTTTGACTATATTTTATTGTGATTTATATAAAATCCCTTTGTAGACATGGGTGTCCACTTGGGAAGCAAGGGAGCCCTGGACCCCTTGGAAAATGATAAACATAATTTTTCTTTATTCATTCAGCATATGTATATGAATTTACAAGTTTTTTTTATTCATTTCACAATTTCACACTACTTATTACACTTAATTTTCAATTCTAATAAAAGTTGCCAGGTTTGTCTAGATACATCTAGATATCTCACCCTGTAGCTAAATATTGAAAAATGTCATTGTCACAGGGACTTCTCACTCATGTCATCAAAGAGACCAACGAGGTGTGCTGACATCCCCTGAGCCCTGACATAGTGTGATCAGGGTCAACCTGTTGCCACATGCTGGTAATATTGGCAGCAGGTTATCAAAGTGGTTGATGCAGTCTTGCAGTCATCCCATGAGGCAACATGGTCGAGTTCATCCAGAATTTACTATTATGGAGTATATGCTTAAACTAACCTTACAAATATTGAACCCATCATCTCTGACTGTTGGAGCTTGTCTATTCTCTTGACTGAAATGGCAACAAAACTTTGAAGACAGGTCCATCGTCCCTTGACTTTGATTTTGCCCCCTCACTTAGAAAAACATTCTGTGGACACCCATGTTTGTAGATTTTATTCACTTGTTTTTTACAAAAGCAACTAAAATTTAAAAAAAAGGAAGCGTACTGAGAGCCAGAGAAGCATTTCTAGAGTCTGTTAGATGGAACTCCAATAGAAGTTTTGTAGTAGGTTAGGATTTGAGACAGTTAATTAATGATTAAGATCACCAGATGGGGGATAGTGCATCAATGTGAATTTCTTTGAATACTTCTATTGAATGTTAAGCAAAAAAATGAGTGTGAAATAGTGGCTATAAGTCAAGATGTCCAACTGAGATGTTAATTGGTTCTACCAATCAGAGAATGTATATTCAGCTTAGTAACTATGCCTACAACTAAGGACAAAGGCTGTAATGCTTCTTCCAAACAATAGTAATCAATATTATCTAATCAAAACTGTGTTATATTTAATAAGCAGCTTCATTACTATTGATTTAGTTACAGTAGTCTTATAGGAAGTAACCTGCTAATAATACTTGTCACAACAAAACCTCAATAGTGGCAGAATGTTTCACTTGTTATATATCAAACATTTTAGAACCATTCCTGACTTCAAGAATTTTTGTAACTTGACTGTTACATTCATTTCTGTTTATGTAAAAAGGAATCTATATTTTAGTTGCACAAGTAAACTTTATGTGAATATGTTTATTTCCCAATTTTTTTTCACAAACACAGGAATTAGTAAATTAATGCATTGTGGTTCATATATATTGCATGTTTGAATAACAATCAGTAGGCTAGATCTGATGAGCTTTTGGCTCATTAATATAAAGACCCTGTCAGTGACATTTGTTAGTAATTGTTCAGTGTTTTACCAGTAGCTAACATTCACTACCAGCCACTCTGACTGTTACTTTTTCTTTTCTTTTTTTTCAACCATAAGGAAACAACAATTATTTAATTACTTTTCGTTAAAAATAAAATTCTAAAGTACACATTATTTATTTTAACCTTTAAAGGTGCTACAAACCATTAATTTAGTAGCACATGCTAAACTCCCTTTTTAAGGTTTTTTAAACATTATTGTGTGTTTCATTAATTTATAAATGCTGTAGGAGAAGTATTGACTCACTTTCTATTTTTAATTAGCGATTATGTTGGTTAATGTGCATGCTTCATAGTATTAAAAGTACCTTTAATAGATAATTTATTATTGTTTCATGAGAGGATGAAACAGAAGAATCTTTGAAAATGCTTTATTTTCAAAGTAAAATAACTATTTACAAGTGCAAGGAAATAGTGAAGCTACATTCTGTGTTTTTTTTTATTAACTTAATAGACTGGCAAAAAAAAACTAATAGTTATGCATGAAGTTTTTAACTTAGATATTGGTAAGCTTAAAAGGGCCAGGAAATGTCTTAAAGTCTTTGAAATTTTGTCTTCCCAAACATGTGGTAATGATATAGTAAATGTAGCTTGTTTTCAACAGTTCTTTTACTTGTTTGTGGTGTTTGAATAGTATAAACTTGACACTAATATTCAATAAAAAAAGGACTTGTGTCATCCAATTAGTTTGTGCTGTCGCTTACCATACTTACTAAACTTAACCGAGTTTATGTAACAAAAGACATGTAATTTAAAGCAAATAGTTTAACACAAAAACATTGTAAGGATAAAAAAAATATCAAAGGAAACTATGAAAGCATTTGTAGATATATGATTTGTTCCTAAGTGTTGTAAACTTTGTATTAGAATCCTTTTTCTACCCATGTATGGATATCAAAGTTGTAATATATCAACAAACATTTCTTTCTGACACCACTCTGACTATATTAAATTAATAGGCCTGGCATTGCCTGGTGGTTAGGGTGTTCTACTTGCAATCAGCAGGTTGCAAGCTTGTGTTCTGGCACCGAACATGCTTGCCTTTTCGGCCATGGGAGTGCTATAATGTGATGGTCAATCCCACTTCACATTTGTAAAAGAGTCACCCAAGAGTTGGCAGTGGATGGTGTTGACTAGATGCCTTTCCCCTAGTTTATCACTTCTAAGTTAGGGACAGCTAGTGTAGATAAACCTTGATTAGCTTTGCATGAAACTCAAAAATGATCAAACTGACTATATTAATGCTTAAACTGGGTATTCAAACATTGAAATAAATATTTTATATTTTAATTAATTAATCTGAATTTCTGAGACCTGTGACAAGTTTGACAACTATGAATTATTTAATATTACTCTTAAAAAATCTAAAAAAATTTCTATTTAAACCTCATTTTTGAACTATCATATATGCACACAGGCTAGGACTTTTAATTTCGTCCACTAATACACTAATTCAAAGTACAGATGCCGTAAATGGTAGTACAGAACTAATTATGTATTCTTTTTTATTATAGGAAGTTAGCAGAAGTGGTTATTCAGAAAGTTATGAAAGAGAACAGTACTACCCTTGGACAATTTGTAGTGCTTCAGGATATTCTCAATTTTCGAGTTTTCCCTTTTATTCTTCCACCCAGTTCCTGTTGCCTTCTTCCTCATCAGAGAGGGTTTAGAAACACTGTTCAGTATAAATACTGGATTGACTTTCAAGTTGTAAGTACAAATTTTGATAGAAATGATAATGATGATACATGATCTTAGAGTTAATGCTGTAATGTTGTTCATAATTAAGTTAATAATGATTTTTGTTATCCTTACCAATTGCAACAGGGAACCATATTTAGTGAATTCTAATTTATATGATATTGTATAACTACATTTTACAGTTAAATATTAAGTTTATTTGAGTACATGTGTTGTTTTTTTTCCACAATAGTCAATCACCTTTAAAAACAACTCAAAAGACATTTTATTTGACCAGTAGAAAAGTTTATTAAATTGCTAATGTGGTTAATTTTATCTCTTTGATCAGTATGGTGTGGAAACTATTTACTGGTAATAAGAATAGTAAATTTAAGGTAGAGTTTATGTCTAGTTTAAAAAAAAATGTTACAAAAATTTCAAATATTTAAGAACCTACACATATGTATATATATATATATAACACATTATCATGAATGTTGGAAGGCAGTTGTTTTGAGAACCTCAAAATATAAGCTGTGTTATGAAGAACAATCTTTTTAGTGTTTTAAAAAGGTAAATAGTCTAAAAGCAAGTGAATATCAGATACCATAAAATATGATTGATTTTCTTGTGTTTTCAGGCCAACAATGATTTTTCAGACACTCAAGCGATTCGTGCTTCAGTGGTAAGTTTGAACTGTCTGAGTTAGGAACTCAGAATAATGTACACTTATGGACTAATGTTAAACTAGACATGATCAATTAAAGTCTAGAATTTCACCAGCCACTTTATAAGAATAATAAGAGCCACAAAATCGTGAACAACAGTTATGCTTATATATATAGATGGAAAGTAAAAATTATACTTTCACATCATGAACTAAAGGAAGAATCACACATACAATGAACAGCATATTTATGTTTAATTAGATTAGACATTTCAGAGTAGACATTTGCCTCATCAAATTCAAATTAAAAGAAGAACCACAGACATGGAGACCAGCATCTAGATATCTGTCTCATTAACTTATAACTAAAAGAAGACAAGAATAAAAAACATGAACAAAATTCAGATGATGTAATTATAGTTGAATAATACAAAACTATTCAAGTTACATCAACTGAATTTTAAAAATACAATTTTTCAATGTGCTAAGTGGTCCGGGAATTTGAATTAAAAAACACATTTCCAGGCCAGGAAAGAATTATGAAATTTAAATTAGGTAAGGGAAATTATATATTTTATAAATTATCAGGAAATTTTCTAAAATGTTTGGTTTAATACACTTTTGTTCTGGTTATAACAGCTAGTCTTTGGGTATTGAACATATGTACAGTATTTATGATATGTATAACTTGTGCATTCATACAAATGCATATCCTTAAAATATTTAAATTATGAACTATGATCTGTCTGAAGACCATAAGTTAATTGAATAAGTGGAAAGAAACAGTAAATACTCTTGATATTGCCCACATCTATTTTTTTTATTTTTTATTTTATTGGCATTTTAATGGCTATCTCAACTCAAAAACAATCAGATGAATGTGTCTGCTATAAATTTAGAACATTGTAACAAAAATTTTAATTTGACAAGTGTTAAAAGCTTTAAAGTTTTCATGACAATGACAGAAATTTTTGTGTTCTTCATTGATTCTTTGTACAGTTTCTCTTGTTTTTCTTTAATAATACTTCCACATTAATATTTTAAACATATTATTAGGTATAACAACTGATTGGTAATGAGTCAAAATGTACACATAAGAAAATATAATAAAAAGCATTATAAGTCCCTGGATGGATCAGTGGTAAGTTTACAGACTTACAATACTAAAATACAAAGTTCAATTCCCTGTGGTGGACAGAGCACAAGCAGCTCATTGTGCAGTCTTGTGCTAAAAAAAGCAACAACAATAAGATTATAGACAACTTACAGATTGACAAATAAAGAATATTTCAACCTTTGATGGCTTAAAACTGTCTTCAGTTTAGCAATCAACAGACTTTCTCATATTGTAATTGCAACATATCAACAGCTTTACTTAGTATACTAAAATAGTCACTGAGAATATCACAGTTACACACAGAGAACACATGCTCTGCAACACTGGAAGAAACCCTGTTGTATTCTGTGTAGTTTCTAATATATGAGTGTTTAACCATCTAGTGGTAGGACCAATATCCTTCTTGACATAGCTAGAATATTTGAATTTATACACAGGGAACGACCTTTTGAGAAAAAAAAAAAGAGATGGATGTATATATGATCAGAAAGGTTAGTATGGGCTCTAGACACAAACGTGTCATCATGAAAGCCATGACTGAATAAGTATCCCAATGGAATCAAACCACTATACTACAGATGTTATGTGAATAGCACTTTAACTATATTTAAATCTAGGGAAAAATTGGAACTCTTGTTTTTTTGCAATATTTAAGTTCTCATCATCTTAATTTCAAGTTTGCTGTTAAGCATGTAAGTGATTATAAGTTGACTTAATTGTTTGAACACATTAGTCCATAGAAGTCAGGATGGTTTAGTGTGAACTTGTGCCACAAACCAACATTCTTAGGTCGATATACACATTTTGATAGCTTTTTCTTAACATATTTAAAGAAAATCTTGTGAAATATCTTGCTTAGAAGATTATAAGTAACAATAAAAGCTTATATAATGAAATAAATAAGATATTATCTTAAGTTAAATGAATATAAAAATTTTACAATTGCTAAAAACATATAAATTATGCTCAATAAAATTACAGTTTTTATTACACCAAATTTTTTATGTGACATGTCCAAAAATGATTTCTGATAATAGTGTTTCTGTATGTCAGTCAACTATCCCAATATGTAAAGAAAAAACTACAGAAAATTACAAGCAAAGTATATGCATAGCTTTCAATTAACATGCATTTTAAAGCCAGCTTTTCAAATGAAATTTATTTTTAGTTTTAAGGATAGAATTCCAAAGCTGGAAAGGCCATTTTAATTAAATATAAATGAAAATGTCCTGGTTGTGCCAAGGAGTACCACTAGGTGGTTAAACACTTTTTTTTAAAAGAACATACACAGAAATACTTTTTTTTTTCCAGTGTTATGGAGCAGGTGTTATCTGTATATAATTGTGAGGTTTTTAGAGATGATATTAGTATATTAAATAGAGCTTATGATCAGGGGTTAAGTGACTGGGTGAAGACTTCACTTTCAAAGTTCTGATTTTACTTTTTAATTTCCCCCCTATGGCAAAATTCAAGTCACATTCATTTGTCAGCTTGGTCGATTACCCATGCTGGAGGTGATAAATAGTATCATCACATTCTTGGTTTTTAAACTCTTAACATAAACCAATCAAATCGTTTAGACTACATGCTTATCCATATTCTCTCAATTCAACATGAATAGTCTAGATATAAGCCAATCAGCATGCTCAATCCTATCTCCTCACCAAGAGTATGTCAGTACCAATTATATGCATTGGCTGTTATTAAAATTTGTGTCGAAACAAAGAAAAATTAAAATTTGACTGGATTAATTATTATCAGTAAATTACAGAAGAGTGTTACTGACAATTGGAAATGATGTCATGTGTCTTTTACAGCATATGGATTGCTGTATTTTTAATTGGATTTTTTATCATGGAAGGTAACCATTAATTACACAAGGTATGTACCATGCAGTGGCATCATTTTAAATTACCTTTACTCATCAAGTTACAAATATAATTGCATTTTAAGCCTGCAATCAAATCAAACTTAGACACTGCTGACCATAATGGTATTCACTTTATTTCATTTGTTCAGAATTTCTGTGGCAAATTGGTTAAGTATAAAACCCTTGGAAAAATCTGAGTCAAATTCTTGTACAAAATGAAAGACTGATACAAAATTATTGAATGAAAAGCCAAAAAAGTTTCATAAAGTTTGGAATCAGATTGACTTCAGTTGATATGTGCAAGATGCCAAGAAATTTTGGCACTGCTGAACTTGTAAAAATGCAGGAAAAAGCACCGTGTGTGTGTGAGTGGGCATGAAAACCATGCTAAGACTATGAATCTTGAATGGCATTCAAAATGTAAGTTAAAAAATAAAACAAAAGAAAAGGCAGTGAATTTATAAAATGGATTTCTGTTATTGTCAGTGGAGAAAAATTAATTTTTTGATTAAATTTCAAAAAAAGATAAAGTGAATAAAATGGTTTTCTTAGATTCTAAAGAAAAATATTTTTAAGTTAATAAAAATACAGTCATCATTATTTAATACTTCAAATTGCTTGTATGTATGTATGTAAGGGTTGTCCTTATTTGCAGGTAAAATTTAAGGTTAAAAAGTCCTCACCCTCTAATTTTGTTCCATTATACAAAAAACATTAAATGTCAAACTTCATCCATTTTGGGCCATATTTGGAGGTTTCTTAATGAAGTTGAAGTTCTAGACTGTAATGGTCTGACACAGCATGTAATATATGATATAAAGACATATTTATTATAAATGCTTAATATAAAGTATATTATTATTTTATTGCATATACAATAGTATAATTATATAATTTTTATATGGTTTGGTGTGGTTAATCACTTCTGCATTATTATTTCCGTTTTGCTGTTAGGAAAGCATCTTCTATGACCTGCACAACTTGAATAGGAATTGTTTCTGTTCTTTCTTGTTATGATGGTATTATACTCCTCAATAAGGGCCAAACCCCTTTCAGCATTGTCATTTACTGCATTCAAGTGTTGAACGGTCTGTAGTACCTCCCTTTAGTCTTATCGGCTCACATGACTTGGGACCATAATCTAGAAATCCAGATGGAATTTCAAGGAATCTACACAAATCTGTTGTGTCTTTTGTGATGAAATCTTCAATTGAAATGTCCTCAGACTTCCTGATATTCAGCTGGATGCACTTTGAAGGTTCATCTATGCATTCCTTCACATTTAGTGGTTTTTACCATTGCTCCTGCATGTTATTTTCTGCCAATAATTGCCCCACTTCTTTTCTCATCCCTTTATTCCTTTAAAGAAAGAACCTTATCTACCTGGCCCATGCACCCATGGTGTCTTTTTTCCCTCTGAGCAAGATGAAAGGCCTTGTCTTCTGAGATCTTGATCAGGGTCAGGACATCCCTATGAGTGATGTCCAAAAGGTCATCCAGATTATTGACAAACTCTACTTCATTATCTCACTGTATTTGTTGGATATACAAGACTGTTTAGTGTAAGAATTATTATTTAGTTAATTTAGTGATCTAGTATTTAATGATTACTTAGTTTTCCTAAAAAGAGTGTTAAAGTTAATTATTTTAAAGTGATAGTTATAACAAATTTCATTACGTAACTCGGTAAGAGTTGTACACTGTGTGTGTAATTCAGTTGTTGTAGTATTGTTGACGTCATCTTCCTCAAAGCCTCTACATTTTTCTTGCTATGTGAGCATTGTTACATCGTAGCATCTTGTAGTTTGTAGAAAGTAAATATATAGTCAACCAAGTGAATGCAAATCAAGTGAAGTTAAGTTCAGATAGAAAAATAGTTAGTTAGTGAAAGAAAATGTAAAGTTAGCCAGCATTTGAGTGATTAACCTTAATGAGTGAGTTCTATAGTGTGCTTCACAGTTGTATTAAGAACAGAGATAACAGAAATAATTTGTCTTGTCAATTGGATTCTAAAGTAACTGAACCAGCCTGTGGGGACTTTTCGACAAAAAAAAGAGACAGTTATTTAAAGCTCTGGATACAACTGTTGTAACCAACAAAAGAAGTTAAGTGAAGATAAGTAAGAAAACGTTAAGTTAGTGAAAGTGAAGTTAGACTATGTGATTGTTAGTTTAGCCATAACAGGTGATATCTTAAAGTGAGTTACAGAGATAAGGGAATAATTTGTCTTGTCAAAGGGTGTTCTAAGGTAACTGAATCCACCTATGTGGACTTTGACAAAAATGGAGACAATTATTTAAAGTTCAGGATACAACCCGTAAACCACGGGTAACAGAATTAAATTATTCACTGATACTATAGTGATAAGAGTAGAGAAAAATAATTTGTTGTGTCAATTGTATTCTAAAGTAATTGAATCAATGTGTGTGGACTTTTGACAAGAAAAGAGAATTATTTAGAGTTTTAGATAAAACTGTGATTTCCTATAGTGTACAGAATTTTTGTACATACATTTGACTTGTTTTGAATATATATTAATTGAAAACAAGTGGATTGTGTGCTGTCCATTTATTGTCCAAATTTATTGCCAACAAATTGCAGACACCTGCTGTAGAAGAATCCTGGCCCACATATATACAAAAACCTGACAGTGTTCAGTTTTCCTTTTTGAACTTTTCTTTTGCTTTGTCCATCTTACAAAAAGTTTCTTCAGTTCTATAATGGCCTGATGTTCTGGACAAATTGGAATTCAAGTCTTTTCTTTTTACCAAAAAGCTGCAGGCTCTTTGATCACAACCTTGAGTTTTCATGAACAGTCTTCTTTATGTTTTGTAATGGTAGTAAAACACACACAGCACTTGCCTATTTCAAGGTAGTTTGCTTTCTGTCAGTTCAGTTTCTGCTGAACCAAAGTATAATCTTACTTTTTGTTGCAATATTCATTTGCAATGATACACCAATACAGTTTCAGTTGATATGATACAGAAGAATCTGCTTAAGTGCTTATATACCAGAGTATTCCACAGCATTCAAAATGTTCAAGAACATTCCATGTATAAATCATTCTTGCTGTCACTTTTTTACATCTGAAATATTCTGTATGACATGAAAGCAGTTTATGGAATTTCTGTGAGGAAATGTTCCAGAATATGCTACAATTCCAGAATGTGCTAGAACATTCCAGAATAATTTGCAACTTTATTTAGAATATTCTAGAACATTCAGAATATGCAGATATAATGCAAGCTAAAAGGTAAAATTTTATCTGCCTTGAGCAAACCCTAAATGTTATTCAGTATGTATAAAATTTGGTATGAATTACTCATTTATATATATATATTGGAATAAAATGAGGAGGGTGAGAGTGTTGTATATCAAAATTTCAAAAATAGGGACCACCTTGATATATATATATACACACACATAAAGGAAACAATTAATTCCTAAATATACAACATTTCCTTCATCAAACAATGTTTTCACATTATGAATACATTGGATATGGAAATGTGAAGTCTCGCTATTTTCATAAACTTTTCTCTAATGGCACCTGGAGGGTGAAGTGACTTTTCCCTATTTAGAATCTATCTTGACCCCTGGATGATGTATTTGAGTTGTGGGTAAGAGAAATTCTATTGATTGCTCTAATGAGGCCAGATTTAATCCTTTATGGAAGAAATTGTACATTTATTGATGAAAAATACTTTTACAAAAACAATTTAAAAAAATCTAATTGAACATTTATAAGTTTTTAAATGGATTTTCTAAATACTTTACCAAAAGGTACCAATGTAAAATAAATTTTATAAAGAACCTTTATGACAAACTTGTTTAAATGTGCTATGTTACTGTATTTCTAACTTTCAAATATGTAATACATATTCACTGTTAGCAGTGAGTTATAGCAAACTGTTGCTTGAATTAGATATTTTTGTTGCATGCTTTACATAAAATATATAACCTTAATTTTAGTTTATAAATTAAAGAGTGTATTATAACAAATCCTAATAGTCTGTATAATATAATATAACATACTAGCTGGTATTGTCTCTAATACCATACCCTTTTATCTTACTTAATCTGTCGGTGATGAATTTCTGACCTATGTATATAAAAAAATAGATTATGTTAAAATAAGTGTTTCAAACATTAACTTATCCTTTCATGGCTTCTAGACCTCTTCATTTGGAGTTACTAAATGCTTTGGAGATACTGGTCACTTAAAATTTCTCTTTGCTACTACATGGACAAGGGATATACCAGGTGATGGGAAGTAAGGAATTTTTTCAAGTGATTGTACATGTTCTTGTCTTTGTTCATATTTTAAAATGACTATTTATATAATGATAAGCTAAAAGAATGATACATTGAGATTTTAATAACAAATTAATGTAAGGCAACATGGCTTTTATTAACTGTATGTTTACATCACACCTATTTTTCCTTTCAAATTTAATGTGTTACATGCAGAATGTTTCTTACTGGGAAAATCTTGTTTCAACAGTGTCTTCTTCAAAAACAGTGTATGTAAGTTTAATTCATTTCTCTTTCAAAGAAACATTTTGCAGAAAAGCAAGTTTATATTAATATTGTTATCATGACTGACTCTTTTATTTTATTTTTCATAATAATGATGCATCTGGAATCATTAATTTATTTTGTAGTTTAGATTTCGATATGGGGAAAACCATAATGGACAATAGTGAGCACAGAATAGGTGTGTGAGTTTTCCTTAAAATACTTCATACTGTGAAGTAAGATGTAGCATTAATCTGTGTTTCTGTAACTTTATGTTCTAGGCTAGTATAATATTAACCTTCAAGTTATTGAATTGTTTTTATACCGTTCACTGCTGGTGACCAGCCAACTAGTCACTTCTTGGGGAGCCAGTTTTGGCCAGTATGAGTTGGCCACTTGCTGTTGCTTGAGCTGGTGTGGTATGTAAAACTGAATTAAATCTCAAGTTGCATCAAATAGGTTTGATTATGGAGTAATGTAAAAAATTCTAACTGACTGGATTGATGTTAAATCAGATAAAAAGACTGGATACAAAGTGAAACACAAAATGCTCCATCTTTATTATATAATGTAACACAATCGTGGTATATGTAGCTGCTTGGATGTTTAAAATACAATGGACCATCATGTTAAACAGGCTCTTCCTTCAATCTATCAGATCATTTGAAATAGAGACCAAGTATATTATCGAAGATGAAGTTCCAGGTTGCTTAAATGCCATATTTCGTAGCTTCCAAGAAACTTCACAATTACCCAGAGCAACACACATGCTATCCAGGTAACTGGTTATTTCAGTAAAATGTAGGTGGGGCTTTAACCTCTAGACATCACATGAACAACTGTTTAAGGGCACTGCTTTAGACATTCTTACACATTGTATCATATTAAGCAATGTTCTTCCCAATTGGTAACATGTATAATCTACTTTCAAGAACAACAAGTGAACAGAGGTAACTTGAAACAAGTTAATCATACATGCAAGCAAAACAAAGAATGAATTCAGAATAAATCCTATAATACTACAAGCAAATAGAAATACATGCTATATTCAGATACCATGCTATTATTGGTCAGCATAAGATAGTTTAAACGTAACTCTTTAGATCCATGAAATTACTGAACAAAACCTACTAGTGTACAGTGCTCCAGATAAGGTCTATTCCTTCATAAATACACATTTTTTACATAAAAAACACATGAAATAAAAAATTGTGCATACCAATTATGCATAGTATTTACTGATGTACATATATATGTCATTCAGTTATGTATGTGTATTTGGCATTTTTTATAGAACAAATCAGTGCTGGTAGTAAATTGAACATAAAACATAAGATTAAAAGGTTAAATTTCAAGGTACTTGTGTAAATATAAATAAAACACTCAAATTATCAATGCTTTTTATGTACACAATTTAAAAAGAGATAATTTTTTTAAAATTGTGTACTTAAAAAACGTTGATCATTTGAGTGTTTTAATAGAGCATAAGAGACCATTCCCACCATAAACCTACTGACAATTACCTGCAGTTTGGGGTTACTGTTGAACTGAAAATTTTACAAGTGTAATTTTATAGATCACTGTCAACAAAGCAATTTCTGTATTGAATTTACACTGTAATTGCCCCAAGTGATCCTTAATAGGACAGTCATACAGAAATAAGAATAAGGGTCTAGTAAATACAGCAAAACAGCACTAAAATGTCAGTTGTAAATTATGAAAAAGTCACTGAAACCTAAGAATATGCAAGTTTTCATTTTCACACATTGCTATTTATTGCTAACACTAAAATACTCACTATGCCAAGAGTAGCACTATCTGTAGCACCAATTGCACACCATGTCATTTGGCAAGACATTTTACAAGTTAAGAACTTTGGACATGGGCTTTCAATGATAAATTAATTCTCTCTTATATTTGGTATTTCAAATCGAATTTTATTCTTCCACCACTCCAATAAACCTCCCATGATTTTTGAGTACTAGAATCAGTTCGTTTTTATTTATACACTAAAGAAAGCAAGTTCAAAGCTTTCAGTCCTTCTTCATAATATGTTTCAAACTAGGAATAATATGGCAGCTGTTTTTGTACCCTTTCAAATAAATCAATGTATTTTCTATAAGAAGGGAATCAAAACTGAACACACAACTCTAAATGAAAACTTACCAAAGTCTGTCACAAAGTGATGATGACACCCTTGTTTGTGAACTCAAAACTTTGTAAATAAATCACAGAACAATACTTAATCTTTCCACCACTTTGAACCATTCAATGGCTTGAGGATTGTATCAGTCATCAGACCTAAGTCATTTTAATAGTTCACAGTGCTGACATTTTTCAAGCACAAAATACAATATCAGCCCAAAGTTTATTCTCTCAATGCATAATTTTACCCTTTTCATTCTTAAAACTAATTTTCAACAGATTATCCCAAACTGGTCTGTATTAAATAAGCACTTTCTAGAGAATCAGCCTTAATCAGTAGCTTAATTTGGGCATTAGAAAATTTAGCAGTCTTACCAGTAATGTCATTAACTTACAAACTCTTAAAGGACCTCTACTAATCACATTTTATGAATCAGAATGTGACCCATTTGCCACAACCATCTATTTTCTATCTTCAAGCTATTCTGAAACAATTTTTTGAGTTTTCCATATTTCTATCAAAATCTTAACATATTAATTAAACCTTTATGATGAGCCTTATCAAAAGCCTTCTGGATGTCTAAATACAAATTAATCATGAAAAATTCATCTTAAAGTCATGCTGAGGAGTTTTAATAAATTCCAATCCTTACAATGCTTTTCCAAGTGATCCCTGAAAATAGGAACTAGTACAGCTTACACACAACAGAAGTCATAGTAATTGGCCAGTAACTTCCTGGGTCTTCTCTAGACCACCCTTATTGGCTGAGTTCCAGTCATCAGGAATTCCCCATGTTTAAAGACTTCAGGAAAATTTCAGTTAAAACCACGGTTGAATAATAAACACAGAAGATGAATGACATACACAAGTAAATAATGAATTTGCAAATTGTAAATACCCAACAGACCTATATTGCAAATTGAGACTACGGGTGCAAAAATAACCAGGCTTTCTTTATCAACAAACACAACTGAGAAGCTACATTAAACAATTTGTTATTGGAAGTCAGTAAATTAGTAGCACAATAACATAATTAGCATAAAATGGTTGCACTCTGGTGCAGGGTTCAAAGGCTCTTCATGATTCACAGATTATCTGATGTATCACTGAACTCCTCCATTATTCTCAGTTACTTCTGTAGCTATCCCAAGAGGTGTTTGTACCCCAAAACAAACCCTATTAGGACACCTGCCAATGGTACCTAAGCATATATGCCACATATAGTCTCACTAGTTTGTGAGTGGAGAAATGAACACAATTTCAAACATGGTGCCCCAAAATCCGAAAGGGACAGGAACACAAAATGTAATATCAGATATGGGTTCAGTGACCTTGAACACCTACTCTTGGACCACCATCATGTCTAGATGACCATCTGGGCACATTGTAGCTCCACTTGATAGGGGGACTATGCCATATGGATAAGGACACCCCCAAATCTGTTTTGCTAGCTCCATAACTGTGGGAGAAGTTCAGGACAAACAAACCAATTCACAAACATGCAACATGAATTAATATAGAATAAATTAACATATTTTATGATATTATACCCAATTAACAATTTTACCATACTTAATGGATTGTAGTAAAATATATGTTACATTCAAACATACTTAATTAAAATGTCAAGAATAAATATTATAATAAGTTAAAAAAATTCACATAAGTATGAACCTGATTCCAGGTCAGCTTATTGTTGGGTAAGATTGTACTCCTCAATGAATACTGAATGCCTTTCAACAGAGATAACACATTTCTTTTCAAGTTTTTATAACTAGATTTCTTGCCTTGCCTTTAACTGAAGTGGTGAACCTTGTTTCCTGGAATCTTTTCCAACCAATGATTTAGTTTTTAATGACTTGGGAATTCCATACTGCCACAGTTAAATCTTTAATAAAAATTGAATCTTTTTTTAGTATCTTTTATGTACTTCCATTTTTCTCCTGAGCTTCATACATTAATTCCAATGTGAACCTAACATAATGAACTGAGCATCTTCTGTAATACAAAACAAAAGGAACCATAATCACTAATACATTCTCCATTGTGTAGCTTCTGAGTATTTAAGTCATAGTGTCTTCTTTATAAAACTTCTGCCAGTGCAGAACATTTGTAAAAATATTAATTTTTTCTGCCTTAGTGGGAAGCAATGTGTACTCCATGAACATTGGTAGTCTCAACATGTGTACCCAGTAAACACTAATAGTTCTAGCATATGGAACAACAATTACAATGAAATGAACAATTACTTAACTTTCATGGTTTGCTGTAGTAAGTTCAGCAAAATATACTTGGTTTTACTTGGCTTTCACATTTAATTACAGTAGTTTCATACCCTTACTTGAGGAAAACTTATTCTCTTAATATATATATTTAGTTCTTTATGTGTTTTTGATATATACTTCATTTCACTCAACTTTCACATTTCTTTACAGTACTTTTATACTCTTAGTTGAGGAAAACTTGTTCCTTTAACAGGTATATTTAGTTATTTGTATGTTTTCAATATACGTGGTTTTACTCAGCTTTCACATTTCCTTACAGTAGTTTCATACTCTTAGTTGAGGAAAACTTGTTCCTTGAATAGATGTAATTAGTTTTTCAGTCATCATTTCTGTTTTCAGATCTTGATTTTAATTCTCTAATGGGGAAATGCATTTTTTCTTTGAAGACAACTCATGTGGAACTAGATTAACCCTTACTAGTTTTTTGAATGTCAAAAACCAGAAATTCTGATCAGGGTTGTGAATTATACAATAGGGTCCAACTTTCAAATGTGGCATTATTTGAACTTTTGATATTAATAACTAAAGTTACTAGATTATTTGCTTTGCCTTCCAGTAAACAAACATTTTTCACTAAATGTTTAGTTGTCAGAGCACTGATGTTAAGTTTCACTTGTTATGTTCTTTCTGTCACTTGTAATTTGATATTTATAAACAGTGATCTTCATCATGACTACCTTTGTTGGAAAGTGGGGAAAAGGAAAGCCAAGTCAGTCTAACATAATTGTTAATAATATTGTATTTGCAATAACTGAAAAAATAATGGGACACTTATCCCTTCTGCCCTATGTGTAAGGAACCTATATAATCTTGATAATAATATAATGTACACTTGTTATCAGTGTGGTGAGGTTAACGAAGTGAAAGAGCTAAAGCAAAATAGCCTTTTCTTTATTTCACCTGTTAAGCAACATGTCCAAACACTACTGTAAAAGCTGTTATATCCAAGCTTTTATCATACAGTTGACATGAAAGAATAAAAAAAAAGGGTATATGATGGTAATATTTCTCAAAAATAATTCAGTTTGGTAAAATCTGGAACAAAATTGGAAACCAGATTCATTAAACATAATAAAAAAAACCTTTTATGTTTACCACTGTTGCAACTCAAAAACTACAGTTTATCTGTACAAAACATTGTAATATTAAACAAAGGACAAAACATCAATAAATTCAAAACTAAGGAAGCTATCTTAATTGAACAAAACAGCCCTACTCTAAACCAACACTCTGGGCTGTCAAGATACCTTAACTAAGCTGTTAAGCAATCTCTGGTTATGTGATGTTTTTGTTCTATACTTTATATATATTTCTGTGTCTATGAAAACTACTTTTATCTGATGATGACATCAGTTTTTTGAAATGTATATATATGTAACAAAGTTTCTTTCACTACCTGTTCAAGCCACCTACAAACTTTATTATACCACAACTACTGTTTTACAATTTGCCTTGTTTGAAAGATATCGTGCCTGAAAAATATATTAAGCATTCTGGTTTGCTTGTTTGTGTTTTTATGGCAGTTTAATGCAGCATTAGAGTCTAAATGCTACATAAGGTCAAAAATATTACATTTATTGCAAACCTGCTTTCCCATTTGCTTTAGTGAGAAACTGTAGATCTTTATGGCACACATTTCTTTCACTTTTGAATTAAATAATGAAGAGTTTGTTAAGTTGGTAAAAGGTTCATAAAGTGTACCATTACAAATAGTTAGCAAGATCCTGTTAGAGAAAGCTTCTCCAAGCTTTTCCATTCTTCATGTTATTAATGATGGTTTTAGAGTTTTGTGCAACCATGTGAAGACATCCAACACAGAAATACAGTCACTTAATAAATGGAGTGCATTTACTCAAAAATATTCCTCTTCAAGTTACATTAAGTACAAAGGAAAAACAATGTTTTAAGTCATATATATAAACAGTTGAAGAACGTTATTCATAATGATTCTCCCATTGTATCCCATAGATTTTACGCTTATACAAAAGAATGGTTGTTAACCAACAGATTTTTCATTCAAATAATATAAGAAATATACTAAGTCAAGTAATGGTGTTGTTTTGTTAAACACCAATATTCTTGGTGGAATTGTGAAGATTGCCTGTTTTGGTGTCATTGTTGTAGAACACTGCATTGTGTTTTGAACAAGCTCATAAAATATAATGACCCTGTAGTTAATCCATCACTTCAGCTGTTATATATAATGAAATTTACAATCAAAATAGATTCAGATTTGATTCTAGTATCACCACATAATATTGTCTCACAGTGCATGGTTATAATTAATAACAGTAATTAAACTTGCATATATTTATGCAGAAGTTTTCAATGTTGTTGAAAGGAATTAAAATTTTTAAGTATTCATGATAATTATAAATGTATACAACATCTCCAGTAAACAGCAAGTAAATATAAATTGGTAGTTTATATGAGGGAGATAATTCTGAAGTGAATTAATTTTATGAATACGTTTTTGTAAGAACAGTATCAGTTTGGGTCTGGTACTCCTAAAATGTATATTTGCATAATCAAGGCTAAGTTACCCTTGCATCTTGATCTCCTTAGATTAGCACAATGTACTTCTTTACACACAACCAGAATATGAGATGTATTTGAAAGCCTGTATAATGTACTTGTAGCAGCATGAATAGCATTATACTTATTATAAACACCTTGTTATTAGGTTATGTACACAAGAAAAATGTAAGAAATCAAATGAAAAAATTTTACAGGTATTTTTCTAATGACAGAATTTTTATTCCTTGTAAGAGTGTGACATTTTCAGTTTCATTGATCAGATAAATGAATATTCAAGGCAATTTTCTTTGGATTTGGTTCATGTGCCTATAATCAATGATAGTTTTATGCTGATCAGTGCTGGGATTTCTAGCAAGGGGTGTCCACTTATTGATTCATATTGAACAACTTTATATATTTCCTTGTTGCAACATTCTTTCTAAAAAAAACTGACCAACAACAAATAATTGAGTGTAATCACTAGTTTTCTATATAATATACTTAGGAGACTTAAGAAGTAATTATTTGGATTAATTGCAGTATTAATGATGTAATTTTGGACATTTGTTTGTACGACTCTTATGTTATTAGGAATTCTATAACCAGCAACTTGTTTCATAGTTTATAAATATGTATCTAAAAAGTTTACGTATTGGATCACTAATTCTAGGGCTAAAACATATGTTCCTATTTTCTCTAAATTATTCATAGTGTTTATTTTTTGCAGGTTAGGTTTAGATGTATCTCTCCCTGTTCCTTTTGGTCCAGCTTATGTTTCAGTTGTTTGGATTCAACTCTATTTTTATATTGAAGAAGACAAAGACAGGTGTGAAGGTGAGCTTAAGTTTCAGGTTGCCTTAATATATTTCTATTATAACATCATTTATGGACCTGTATTGGTTCACAAAAGTTTTGTATGAAAAGTGTAGTAAATACAGTCACTAGGAACTATAGAAGTGTTAAAGAAACATGTCTAGTGTACCTTAGTTCACTACTTTCTGCTGACGATGAATGTATTTTATAGCAGATATATCATTTATTTAAGATGGCTCTCTAGAGTATTTGAAAGTTAAACATTATTTATTGTAGTATAATGATAATATGGAGTTACATGTAATCTGTTTTAAAAATGAGTACTGAGTCTGCAGTTTTTCTGGATATCAAATATTGTTGTAGATATTGATTCCATAATTAGAAAAATAAAAGTTGGAATGGTTATAAATATTGTCAGATTATGTAAATATTTAATTTATTCTATACTAGTGAAAAGTGAAATTACCAATTAATTCAACTGTGACAGTAACAAGGAGAGTTTCAGGAGTTTGGATGAGCCTTTTTTTAAAATTTCTTTTGTTTTTATAATTTGAAAAAGAATGATGAAAATTGGAAAAAAATCCAAGATTGACAGAAATTGGAGTACGAAGAACTTAATTAACAGTTTTTCCAAATTCCCTCATAAATTTCATCAAGTTTAAAGATAACAGTATTTGATATTTTTAGTTCTTCCTACTATACGTAATCATAAAAAATACAAAGAATAGAATGCACTACAGCAGTTAAAGTTTTTATCCTTAATTTTGATACTAACAGGTGTATCACAAATGGCTAAAGACATTCCAGCCACATTTCTGTTCAGATCTGTTTCCAATTGTACAAGAACTTGTTGCAACTAAGAATACTGGTTTACAAAAAAAAAGAAAAATTGTATTTACATGGTAGATCAATATTTTAAATCTTTTACAGGATTTTGTTGTTTCAGTTTTATTGAATAGTATGTCTTTTATGCATTAATTGTATGAAAACTTACTGAAACACATTCTTCCTACTTATCTGCCAATGTTGAGTCAGTCATCATTTTTGTAAAGAATTTTGAACTTATATTTGGTATGTATGTTTCACCACTATTATCAAAAATATGAGTGCAAGGCTTAGAAACATATTATACATTGGAGATCTAATGGGAAATGTCCATTTGAAGTGAACTATTGTCATTTCACTAAATTTTTCTTCTTGTCTAATAGTAAAAAAAAAAGTGCTTATAAATTTCTGAAGCTAATAGATCGGTCATGAGAATTATGCTTGAAGCTTCAGTAGTAACACTAGAGAATTCATGAATTAGAATACATGATATGTACAGCTTACACTAAGAATTCATAACTGTCTACAGTGTTGAACAAATCTATCAGAGAGAGAGAGAGATCCTAACTAATATTTGAAATATTTTAGGTGAGGCTTCAATCCAAGGAACTCCCCTACTTTTTGATGACCTGAATATAGCTGATGTGCAGGCCAAGCCTTTACACTTAACCTTGGAGCTTATAAGAAGTGATGGGTATGTAAAATGTAGTCAAGATCGTGTGGTAGAATGGAACAACAGTACGACAGTGGCTAGCAATCCAGAGGTATGTGGAATAGCCACTAAAAAAATATTTAAGTCACATAGGATTAAATGGAAATTTCTCAGTTGTCATAGTTTATACAGTCACATAAATCTAATTAATATCTAGTAAATAATTCGTAATTATATCTATGATCATATAGGCTATTAATGCTGATAACGATTGCCACAACCATACATTTACTACTTAAATACTTTTTTATGTATGGATTGAAAACTAAAGTACTTCCATTGACTGTTGAAATAGATTTCTTTACTACTTCAGTCATTTTGTAATATCATTTCACACAAATTCTTGTATATAAATAGTGTATAGTAACTTGTAAAACACAAGTTCTACTTCTAAAAGTAAAATGCACATGCATGTATCTACATATGTGTGAGATCACATGAGGTATAGCACATGGCTGGGTCTTTCTTTTAGAACCAATGAGCTGTGGGAAGAATTGGGAGTGATTTGACCATCCATAGGTGATTACCTATATGAATGCTGTTTTCTTAAAAACATGTACATTTCAAAACCTATAAATCTCATATTAAATGGTGAAGAAAGACTAACAAGAGTTTCTGAATAAACATTTATCAGGTTGCATGTAAATAACATAAGTATGAGGATCATCAACAGGTGCATCATTTAACACCTGTGTTAAAATAGGCATAGAGAATCAGTTGGCCAGTACATCCACCTCCATTGATTCTAACTGTTGCTATTGTGCTTTAGATGGTAAACTGCAAAAGAGAATTTAATCCATATTTGAAGGTCAAACAAAAATCCATTACCAATCAGACTAATCACTGAGGACTTCAAAATCTTACCAGGATAACACCATATCATTGGAACAGGGAGGATGATTTGACTTATATCTACCTCACAGTGCCAGCTAATGCTTGTTGAACCTGATAAGTTAGAGCATCCATATTGGAGATCTTGTGAAATCAATGACTCTGAAATAACCACAGTTGCTCAAGTAAACAACTCAACTTTCATTTCTCTGATGCACATGGTACATGGATCCACTAACTGGAAATTAGTCATGTTTTCTTAGTGGCTTAGTACATATTCAAATGCTTCAATTCTGTAGTTGAATGTTCCTATTTCCAGGTAAAAGTCTAAATAAATTATGGAATTATTTTTGTTGGTTCCTCAATTGAACAATGTTACTTCTAGGTAACACATCCATTTATAACTTATCAAATCATATTTCACAAAACATATTTTTTGTGCAATATAGACCTAATTGAGTAAGAAATTCAAATATAAAATTTTTTCCACCATATTTTCATAACGTTTTGTTACGACAGCGGAAGTCACGTGACGCTAGTAACACGTCATGAGCTTCTAGAAGGATCATGTCTGTTTGTGGCAACTCTAGTCTTTTCTACACACTCTCTATTCTTGTATATAAGTGCGCCAGATAAAGCGAGACAATTAATTAGAATTGGAATTGCAGACAGGCAGAGATAGAGACGGACAATTGAGTCAAGCGTGGTAGTGACTGTAAGTAAAGTGCGTGAATCGTTGTGAATTATAGCGTGTGTCTCAGTTAAAGTGACTGTGGCAATTAAATGTATTGCAAGTTGTATTGAGAAACAATAAACTAGTTTTATTTAAGAAAGGACTTGTATCGCTAAAGTTTCATCCGAAAGAATTTATACGGGAAATTAACAAATGAACACAGAGACATAACAGTGTGTTATAAAGGGTTAAAGGTTTTTCTACACTTTTCTTAACAGCTTAACATACCCACAGTAAAGACTTGCTCTTGTTTTGTATTATGGTTGTAACTTTGATTGTTATTTGTCAATAAAGATTGTTGTTTTACATAAAAATGTATTACTTCTATCCTTGTTGACAAACTCGAGGGTTTAGAGAGAGAGAGACATAGACCATATAGTGTGATATTCTCTGAACCTTCAGTTACAGGGCTGTAACTAACTGCTCCTTGAGAAATCAATGTGCTGGAAAATACCAAACATAATAGATATAATAACCAGAGAAACGTGACATGATAAAATTGTAAAAGTAAGACTTGTGTAGAGAAGATACGCTACATAGGAGATACAGAATTATGTGCATTTGCATATATGTGGGCACTTAGGGTTAAAGGAGGGAGACATTATGAGAAAATTGTGAATGATCAAAGAGTAGCCTGTAAAATTTCTAGTATCAAATCTGTCTATTCATAGTCAAATTATTTTACTTTATTTTATTGAGGTTACTTATGTTTTTGTTGTGGGGGAATCTTGGAATCTCACAAATAAACAAATAAAAATATGTATTGAAACAGGAAAAATGCAAAATCGGAACTGAAATACAGATATATTAAATATGAAAATTCAATTTTATTTTATGTTTACAAAGGGATGTATAATTTTATTAACATTTCCTTTGTGAAAAGGATTTTGATTTTTATAAAATTTCTAGCTGAATAAATAAGAATATTTTATGAGAGGATGAGTAATTGTAGAACAGCATTATTTTTCAGTAAACTCAGTTTGTTTTCTTTTTTTTTAAACAAATAAGTACTTGGGAAAAAAATTAAATATTGATGTGTAAATACAAATTTGTTTAGTAAACATGTGAGAATAGTTACAACTTGGAAATATGTTTTATTCTCTTTTATTAACTTGTATTTGACTACCAGGTAATCTAATTTATCAGTTTGATTAAATTATCATAATTTTGATGGGAATAACCTTAATAGTGTACAAGTTTAAAGAGATTATAATTTCACTGTATAAGTAGGTCACTGGTTAGACCATATTTGGAGTATTGTGTTCCATCCTGGGCTCCTTACCTTAGGAAGGAGATTGAATTGTTGGAAAGGGTTCAGAGAAGGGCTACTAGGTTAATAACCTCTGATGGAAAAGATGTCATATAAGGATACATTAAGATCTCTGAAGTTCTTTTCTCTTGAAAAAAAAAAAAGGAAGAGTTAGAGGGGATCTGATTAAGTTGTTTCAAATTGTTAAGGGAATTTATAGTGTTGGTACATCATCTCTTTTTCACTATTATTGGTGTCACTTAAACTGGATTTCAGCATCAGATTTTATGTGCCATTTCAGTATAGGAGGGATTTGACCTTTTGACTTGTTTAAGATACAAAAAGTTTTACAGAAAAGTACTTTCAGCAGGATTATTCTCTAACTATTAATTTTAGACCTTTTTGTAATTTTGTTTAACATTTTATGATAAATAAAACGATTTTCTGCTTTATCTATTTGGTAAGGGGCACAAATTTTGGCAACATAAGAGTAATCTTCAGTTAAGACAAAGAAGTCTTTGGAATGGATTGCCTTAAGATAGAAAGGAAGTAGTCAGTTTATGGGATTTTTAGGAAATATGTAATAAGTACTCAAATGACAAGACTGCTTTGAGTTTTTTTCTTTGATTGTTTAAATAGTTTAGTTTAGTGGGACAGGTCCATATTGTCCTTAAAAACTATATTATGATCCCTTTTTCTCAGGTTTACGAAATTTTTGGTTCTATTCTGAAAAATAAAAAAATGTGTGAGAATATACATCAGTAATAATTTCTATTATTCAAGGTTGAAAACCCAAAGTTTGACATGCTGATATTTAGCACACAGTTACATTGTGGGCTTATGGAGCCCGGATTTTGGACATTAAGAGTCTTCAAGGTAAGATGTTTTGTTAGAAATGACAGTAGTTACTTTTATTTTTGTATATACAGTTTGATTGTATAAGCTCATAATGTTACAACAACTGTTTGTGCATACACTGCAACTTCCTGTATACAGTGGTGACAGTGAGACATTAACAAGTTTCTTGAGAGATGTGCAAATGCTAAGATTACATGCATTTAATAATAAATAAAAATTCCTTTTTATCATGATAGGTCTTGACATTATGCTGTGAAGCAACACTAAAAATTTTACAAAATACTAACAAATAGAATTTTTCAAAAGAGTGATGATCAGTAAATATTAATGTTATCATTTGTATACTTGTTAATTTTGTATTAAGTGAAACCCTATTATTGCTGTATGACTTGTCTGGCAGTATGTCTTTGCTCTTTCAACTCGTAGTTAGATAGTTGGGAACTTGAGACTGGCTTACATCATGCTGTTGTCCTTGAGGAAAACACTTCATCCCAATCTACTCAACTATATGATGGGTACTAGCTGTTAGCTGGGGGCTAACCTGCAATAGGTTGGTTTTGTCTAGGGGAAGTGTTTCACCATTCTTGTCAACTTGTGCTGCTTAAACCAGAATTCAGCCCCAGATTCTATATACCATCTCAGCATGGGAGGGTTATAACTTTATGACTTGATTAAGATACAAGAAGTTTAACAGAAAAATACTTTTAACAGGATTATTCTGTAACTATAAATTTTAGACACTTTTTTTACTTTTGGCTAACATTTTATAATAAATAAAAGTTTCTTTCTTTATCTATTTGTTAAATTGATGACATTGTATTTATTTCACATTGTTTTGAATTTGTGTTTTTTTACTTGTAAACTGTACAACAAAGTATCATCTGAGTTTGACACAAGCTGCACCCTTCATCTCAAACCTTGTTCCAGAAAGATAAATTAGCAATATTTTTTCTGTGATACTTTACTTTATAGGATACATTTTCATCATTTAAATATGATTATTTACATTTAACAAAAATAACATTCTGCATTTTAATCATTGTTTAGGCTAATGATAAAGATCCTCGAACATATGAGAAGATTATGTTATTATTAGACATTTCTCAAAAAAGTGGTAAGTAGTTATATTCTAAATTGTGTAAATTTTTGAAACGTAGAAGCTAAACATGTAACACATATCAAAAACTATTTAAATATTATAGTTTTAATAAAACTATGGTGATTTATAACTTTTTTACCAGAACAGGTTTAAGTAATTGTAGAATATTCTGTTTTAAGTGAGAGTATTGTTTCATCACCTGTTGGAAAACAGGTTTATCCAACACATGTACTTATATGTTTTCTAGGTTTATCCACAGAAACTATTTCTCAGTTGTGGGAATTGGAGGCTGCTGCTTTTCTCCCTCTGCCTGACTTTTATGGAGACACTGTTGAGAACCAAAATCCTATAAATGTTTTTCCTTATCCAGTAAGAAAAACTTAAGCTCCAAGTATTTATATAAATATTTATCAGTTTGATAAAAATCTACCATTTTATTATGGATATCAGCTCTCTCCATGTGTTCCTATTAGAATCTGTTAATATCTGAGTGAATGCTATAAAAAAAAAAGTGATTTATTAAATAAACATAAAAATATGTGATATAATTATAATCTAAGTTTATCACTGTTTCACCAAAAAACTTTCAGAATTTCACTTGAAAAGTTGGAAAGATGTTGCAGGTTAGTTAATAGTGGCTCATTTACTTCAGTACTCTCTACTTATTTCGTTTGCTGTTTTGGTTCAATATTTTCCTAGATTTTTCCACGGGTTCTTAAATGTTCTTCACATAGCTTCACAAAGAGTAATGATTCCTATCTATAAGGTATATTTCTCATTATAAGTTTTTAGCTTTATTGTCAAATCTACAGAATTTTTACTTTGTAATTATTTGACACATATACTTGAGATCAGTTTTCTAAATCAAAGGTTGACTATTTCAGCAATAAAGGGTGTGCAATAGTGCATTATTAATCAAAGTTTACTGTTATTTTTAACACCTGCCACAAGAGCCAGCCCAGCATCTTGATGTGGATACAAAAAAGTGAGTCATTCTAGAAAGGTTTGGGTTGTTTAGATTAGACAAAAATGATATTTGGCACTCTTTTCAAGAATACTTGACCAGACCTGAGAGCCAACATGGAGAAGTTAACCTAAAAATGTAAAGTAAAACAGTGTAATATGCTTGATATATTCTAGTTGTGGTTGTGATGGTTTAAGTGTAACGATTAAGCTAATCTGTGGATCCAGGTCAGACAAGAAAAGAACTTATTTGAAGATATAAGAATCAATTTGACATACCAGCTGAATCAGAGTTTTAGTAATTTATTACGGTAATGACAGTGGCACAAAAAAATGGGTACAATAGTATTGTTAACTTCAAAAAGAGGGATTGGAATCATATGTAAAAAATCATTAGTTTCAATATTTTTGGAAACTAATGGCTTTTACATATTACAATTTTGAATGGTCTGAAACCTAGCTAAATGATAATTTAAATTTAGTAGTTAAATATATGCAAATATATATATATATATTTCCAATTTATGATATTTGCCACAAAGATTGATACACCCAGTTTTCCTTTTTAATACAAATATGTTTTAACATATAAACAACAATACAATTTACAATAACAGCCATTACAAATAGTTATTACAAACAATGGTTTATATACAAATGTTTCACAAACTTACTAGCAATATAAAGTCTTCTTTCTAGTCTGGAACTTCCTTGATATCTTACTGAGGGTTGATGATGAGTGAGTTAATTTTGAGTTGACGTAGGTATAATTAACTTAACAGGGAGCTAGCTAGCCCTGTTGTTCTCACTGATCACACACCGATTACATGTCGAGTTTCCACCGATGATGTTAGGTAATGTTTTCATAAAAGTAATAATGTCTGATGTGAATCCACTGAAGTTAAATGATTTGTAACGTTCGAAATTTATAAATGTTTCTGGTCAAATATCTGAATTTTCTCAATTAATAAGTGTTATAACAATCACAGTTATAGCTTCCGAAGTTTATAGCACACCAACTATAGCAAACCAATAATAGATCCTCTTTTTTGGTGCATTGCGTTGGTTATATTTATAGGTGTGTGGAGAGTTTCTTGAAATTTCAATTTTATGTAACAATACTGATGCTAACACTAGCATTTACATATGCACATATATTGTTGATTCTTACACTCGAGAATCTTCTAAAACTTTAGAGAATAGGCAGGAGTTTTGCAATACATATTTAACTGTATAAGTTA